TCCCATTATAACATTTAAAATATTTTTAAAGGACGATTTTTTCCAAAAGGCATTTAGATACTAATCTTTAATTACATTCCTTATCAATTTGAAGGCAGTTACAAAGATACTGTCTAGTTTTAAAATTAATGCAAGTACACCTCACAAACGTTATGAGTTTGGTTCCCACAATAAAGCAAATATCACAGTAAAGCGAGCCACATAATTTTTTTGGTTTCCTAGTACACACACAAGTTATATTTATACTATATTGTAGTCTATTAAGTGTGCAACAAATTTATATCTAAAAAGGTACACAACTTAATTTTTAAAAATACTTTATTGTTTAAAAAATGCTAATAATCATCTAAGCCTTCAGAGAGTTGTAACCGTTTTGTGAGTTAGGGTATTACCTTGATGCTGATGGCTGTTGACTGACAAGGTTAGACACTGCAAAAGGCTGGGGAAGCTGTGGCAATTTCTTAAAATAAGACAATGATGAAGTTTGTCACACCAATTGACTCTTCCTTTCACAAAAGATTTATCTGTAGTATGTGTGCTGTTTGCTAGCATTTTACCCACAGAACTTTCAAAACCGTAGTCACCTGGGCATGGTGGCTCAAGCCTATAACTGCAATGTTTTGGGAGGCCGAGGCAGGAGGATCACTTGAGCCCAGGAGTTCAAGATCAGTCTGGGTAACATAGTGAGACCACATCTCTACAAAAAAATTTTTTTAATTAGCTGAGTATGGCGGTGCATGCCTGTAAGTCCAGCTATTCAGGAAGTTGAGGTAGGAAGATCACTTGACCACTTGATGGGGGGGCGGAGGCTACAATGAGCTGAGATCGCGCCAGTGCCCGAAAGGCAGGGTAATCGCAAGACACAGTCAGCTGAGATCACACCAGTGCACTTAAGCCTGGGTAACAGCGAGAACAAAGGCAACAAAAAAAAGCACACACACACAAACGCACAAAACAAACCTGAACTCAATCCTCTCAAACACTGATACCGCCTTGTCAACGAAGTTTATTTGATACTCTAAATTCTTTGGTGTCATTGTCATTTAAAAAATGTTTCTAGCATCTTCACCAGGAGTAGATTCCATCTCAAGAAACCACTTTCTTCGTTCATCCATATGAACAACTCCTCATCCGTTCAAGTCTGATCTGAGATTGCAGCAATTCAGTTACATCTTTAGGATCTACTTTTAATTCTAGTTCTCTTGCTATTTCTACCACATCTGCAGTTACTTCTTTCAATAAAGTCTTGAACCTCTCATTCATGAAAGTTGTAATCAACTTCTAACTCCTGTAAATATTAATATTTTGACCTCCTCCTACAAATGACAAATGTTCTTAATGACATCTTGAATAGCAAATCCTTTCCAAACAGTTTTCAATTTACTTCGCTCAGATCCATCAGAGAAATCACTATCCATCACAGCTGTGGCCTTATAAAATGTATTTTTTAAATAATAAGACTCAGTCTTTGATCCGTGGGCTGTAGAGTGCCTTTTGTCTTAGCAGGCATGAAACTATTAATCTCTTCATACGTCTTCATCAGAACTACTTTGTAAACAGGCACATCATAAACAAGCAGTAGTATTTTGTAAGGAATCTTTTTTTCCTGAGCAATAGGTCTCAACAGTGGGCTTAAAATATTTAGTAAGCCATGCTGTAAACAGATGTGCTGCCATCCATGCTTGTTGTTCCACTTACATACAGAGCATGGGCAGAATAGATTTAGCATAATTCTTAAAAATCCTAGGATTTTCAGAATGGTAAATGAGCACTGGCTTCACCTTAAAACCCACAGCTGCATTATCCCCAAATGTGAGAGTCAGCCTGTTCTTTGGAGCTTTGAAGCCAAGTATTGACTTCTCTGTGGCGATGAACAAAGTCCTAGATAACATCTTGTTTCAATAGAAAATTGGAAAATAGAAGACTGAAAATCTACTGTTTGAGGATGCCATCTTCTTCCAATAAGGCTATATCAACTATGTTGAAAATTTGTTTAGTGTGGCCAACATCAATTCTTATCTAGATCTTCTGGATAACTTGCTGCTGCTTCTTCATCAGAATGTGCTGCTTCATCTTGTACTTTTATGCTATGGAGATGGCTTCACTAGTTAAACATCATGAAGTAACCTCTGATAGCTTCAGACTTTTTTCCTCCAGTTTTCTTATCTCATTCAGCCTCAAAAGAATTAGAGAGGGCCTTGCTCTGGATTAGGCTCTGGCTTAAAGGAATGTTATGGCTGATTTCAATTGTGGCTGCTTTGATCTTTTATCCAGACCACTCAAACTTCTTCCACATCAGCAATATGGCTGTTTTGCTTTCTTCTCATTCATGTGATCATTGGAGTAGCACTTTAAATTTCCTTCAAGAACTTTTCCTTTGTATTCACAACTTAGCTAACTGGCACAAGAGGTCTAGCTCGACAACCTAAGTTTTCAATATGCCTTCCTCACTAAGCTTTATCACTTCTAGCTTTTGATTTAAATTACTCTTCCTTTTTACTTGAACACTTAGAGGCCACTGTAGGCTTATTAGTTGGCCTAATTTCAATATTGTTGTGTCTCAGGGAATAGAGAGGCCCAAGAAGAAGCAGATAGACAGGAGACTAGCCAGTCAGTAGAGCAGTCAGAACATACACATTTGCAGATTAAGTTCACTGTTTTATACGGGTGCAGTTCATGGTGCCCCAAAATAATTACAATGGTAATGTAGACAATTACTGGTCACAGACCACCATAACAAATATAATAATGATGAAAAAGCCCGAAATATTTCAAGAATTGCAAAATGTCAAAGAGACACAAAGTGAGCATATTATTGGAAAAATGGCACTGATAGTCTTGTTTAATGCAGAGATGCCACAAACCTTCCATTTGGAAAAATACACATCTGTGAGGTACAATAAAATGGGAGTGCCTGTAATTCCTTTATTCAGAGCAATGGAGACAAATGAAAATAACAGCCCCACCTAAAAACTGTATTAAATTACCTCTTCCTAAAGCAAAATGTCCTTTTTCAACCTTGTCACCTACGGCTTTAGAACTCCAGTGTGTGCAAATCAAGTATTTATATAATCTTCCCGTATTCCTAGCTCTGTTGTTTCATGTTCTTAGATCAAAATAAAAAATAAACAAACAAAGTTCAGATTTAGCTACATAACTAAGTTAACGCGTGAGTTCTACACGTACCATTTAGGGATAACCCAGGGAGAAAAGCTGAAAAATGAAGAATTAGCCTGGGTAATATTCAATTCCTCATAATACAAATGTTTTTACCATTAAAATGATAAACTACCTACGAATATGTGTTAAGAACCATCTCTCAGAGACTTCTAGGTCAAAATACCAAAATAAAAGTACAAAGAACCATTAGGGAAAGCTAAAAGCTTTACTGATATAATGTCAGTCAGCAAGAACATTTACACATAATTTTCACAAATACACCTGCTGGACTGAGTAAAATACAGAGTATATTTCAAGAAAACATATTTAAGAACTGTGAAGGCTCCAGTTAACCATTCTCTTGCATGTCAAGAAGACACAATTAACAGGGTGAAAAAAAAAAGCAACTTATGGAATAGGAAAAACTATTTTTAAACCTTATCTGTGATAAGGGGTTAATATCCAGAATATATGGCAAACTCCTAGAACTCAACAGAAAAAAATCAAACAAACCAATTAAAAAATGGGCAAAGAATTGGAAAGACATTTTCCAAAGATAATATACAAATGGCCGACAAGCACATGAAAGGATGTTCAACATGACCATTCATCAGAGAAATGCAAATCAAAACTTTCATGGGATAACACCTCACCTCAATGAGATAAACACACCCCTTCAAATGGCTACTATAAAACAAACAAACAAAAACAGAAAATAAGTGTTGGTGAAAGTATGGAGAAACTGGAACACTTGTGTACTGTCGGTGGGAATGTACAACAGTTCAATTGCCATGGAAAACAGTATGGAGGCTTTCCAAAAACTTAAAAATAGAATTATCATATGATCCAGAAATTCTACTGGGTATATACACAAAATAATTGAAAGCAGGGTCTCAAAGGGATTATTTACACACTCATGCTCACCTTGGCACTATCAACAATAGCCTAGAGGTGAAAGAACCCATGGGCCGGGCGCGGTGGCTCAAGCCTGTAATCCCAGCACTTTGGGAGGCCGAGGCGGGTGGATCACGAGGTCAAGAGATCAAGACCATCCTGGTCAACATGGTGAAACCCCGTCTCTA